TGGTAGAGGTTGGAAATTAATTAGTCCTTAATTATCTCCAAATATATATAATACATTATTTTATACTGACTGTTAGTCTGTGATTAAGCTATCTAAATTAGCAATTTAACAATTCGTGATTTCACCATCCCTTTTATTTGGATTAACTATAACTAGCTTGTTAATTAGTTTATGGGTTACCTTATTTTACTTAGTTCTGATATTACTATTAATTAATTAGAATATGTTTAATAAATATTAAGAAGTTCTATGTATTATTGATTCTAGACCTTACCTTTTCCTTCTATAGATTTAGAATCTCTTTGATTCTCCTGAATGTTCTAGATAATTCTCTGAAGTTCTCACTACGAGAATAGAGCAAAAGCATTTTCCTTATTAAAAAAATTGGGTTAACTTACTCCTATTAATTACCATAAAGATTGGTTTCAAGGTTATTTAAGCCAATTTATATATGCATTTTTGCATCCAGATAAAATAAGCTTACATGAATCTTCAATCGAAAATTATATCATTTAGTTTGTTTAAGCTAATCTTCTCAATCATTGTATTAGATTAGGTAATTCATGAAGATTTTTGGTGAAGTAGAAAAAGAATTTTTAATGAATCAAAATCAAATGACATTCAGGATGAACAGATGTTCTATTTTTAATAATAATTCCTTAAACATACTTGAATTTTTTTGAACATTACAAACCTATATTCATCTTATAAAATTATTTTGAAACCTACTGTCTTTTTAAATTTTCAGTATAAAAATGTCTTCTTTTGAATATGGTTTGATTATCCCAGAAAATACTCTCCAAATTTCAATAAAGTTATTTTCTCCAGTTTATCTTATTTGAGATATAAACATTACTAAAAGCCCATTTTTATTAAAATCCTTAATTTTCAAAAAAAACATCATTATTTTATGATCCTTGACAGAAATAACATGTCCAATTATTCTAGGTCTATTAAGGTGATGGTAAGTGTCAAATCATCTAAATTAAATTACAATGTGACAAAATAGCCATATTTAAGTAACTAAAGGAACAGAATTAAGTATTCTAATAAAGTCAGAATGTACCATTTTCTGTAACTCTCATATAAAAACCTAGAATCTTACCGTTCACATATCTCTCGACATTAAGGAAAAACCCCTGATAAGAACATTTGCTCCAAGTCTGGAATTTATAGGGGAGTAAATGATAGCATTAATAATAAAGCCCCCCTTAAATAAACACACAAATAATAATAATAACTTCAAACTAAGTAAATTCATTTTAGTTAAAACAAAAACAATATCAACTCATTACATTATTAAATAATAGTTGTATTTTGGAATATTTCCTCTTTTAACCAACCACTTAACAAATAATAAAAGAAAATGATCCCGCAATAATTTGTCTTCAAGAAACTCGATAGATCATAAACACATCTCCTAAATACAATTTCATTAATAAATTACATAGCGAACATTCTTAAGGCGGAGTAATAAGTATAGGCATTCATAAATAATTGATATGCAGAGACATTTCTCATATATTAAAATTAGATGAAATTGAATATTTGTTAGTTTAA